GCCAAAACCGCCGCCCCGCGGGGGCAGCCGTGGGCGGGAGCGGGGCCTCCCTGAAGGGGCAGCCTCGTCCCCTGCCTCCTCCCGCCTTCCTGGGGGGGATCGCGGCTCCGCTTCGCTGTGGGGCCCTGCCAAAACCCCCAAATCTGCCCCCCACGCACCAAAATCCGCGCGCGGCCTCAACAGGCAGGTGGGGGTGGAGCCGCAGAGCTCCCTTAGGGCCTAGGCCCGAAAACAGTCGCCTCGCAGATACCGGGGTTAAAGACAACCATGTCGCTGCGGGTGTATGTGGGGGCCGAGCCTTCCTGCTCGGTGCAACTTAACGTTTCGTGTTCCTAGGCTGAAGGAGATACCAAGGGCGATAAGGCCAAAGTTAAGGATGAGGTAAGAAGTTAAATATTTTTGCGAAAGTTGGAGCGTAAGGTGTTTGCATTGGGAGGCTAGGTTTAACTTTGTTGAAATTGATAGCTGGAGTGGGGGAAATGGCACTTAATTGATGCTGTCCTTTTAAAGTATTAACCCTGTACCTTTTAATCTTAACCATGAAAAATGTACTAACTGCTGTCAAATACCATTTGTAGTGACTTAAGCAGTGTATCTTCTTGTAATTTGATAGTAGGAAAAAAAAAAAGTAAAACTTAAGCTCTTGTCCTGGGATTGTGTCCATTTGAAATAGGCTTATTTAGATGGTTTTGGTTGTTCATATTCTATCGCCTTATTTTTCATCTTTTTTCTTTTTAAACAGCCACAACGGAGATCGGCGAGGTTATCTGCTGTGAGTATCCTGTTGTTGAGGAGAGGTGTCACGGCGTTTATCGGGCTTGAGTATTAAATACTGCATCCGTATGAGAACCCAAGGTATTCCAGAGGGATGCATTGTTCGCCTGAAGGAATGTTGTTAGCTTAACAAACTGCCCCATTGTGTGGCCTTCTGGGAGTGGTAGAATAATTGTCAAATCAAGCAAGTGCTTCAATTTCAAATATCGCTTTGATTTATTTTCCTAAAACTAAACTATTTGAATTGACTTAAAAAAGAGAAAGAAAGAAAAGGGCAGCTCATTGTTTTAACTGCTTGTGTAGCATGAGTATTTTTTTTTTTCTATAGAAACCTGCCCCTCCGAAGCCAGAGCCTAAACCTAAAAAGGCAGCTCCAAAGGTAAGTTGGTGTGTTGTTAATCCTCTTGCTGAAAGGTAGATAGGTTATAAGTACAGGTTTGACTAGTAATAATTCATAAAACTTTGAGCATCGGTGTCTCTGAGACAGCAATCATTTGAGAATTTAGCTGCCTTGTTACTTCTATAAAGTTGGACTGAAAGCTTCTATACTTTATAAAACTTGCATAAGATTGTCTAAAACTAACCAAATAAATGAGGAAACTTTACAAAGGTCATGAATCTGTCTCAAGCATATAAGTACTTGTGTTTTGCTGCATTCTTTCTAGGCCAACATCCAGTGTTGGGTTTTACCATCCTAGTTTTTGAATTCTTGTGGCTGAGTGGGTATCAGGGATTTTAATGGTGTATGTCATCTGATATTGGCAGAAAAGTGAGAAGGTGCCTAA